GCCGCTTTTTGCTCCCATTCCCTCCCGCCCCACACACTTCCTACAGTAGTTCTAATCGGGTCGACCTGCCGCAGATTTGACCCAGGCGAGCAACTGCCTGCCCATCATCGCAGCCCTGATGATCTCGGGCCACCTGCGGGACGAGGACAGGATCGAGCTGCCAATGCCACACCCCGAGGCCTGGCCCAACACCTTTGCGTACGTGGCCGAGAGCCAGGGAGAGCTGACAGACGCGGTGAGGAAGAATATTCTGCACCTGGGCGGCAAGGTCTGAGCTGAGCTGCTTGGTGGCGACGTCTTTTTTTTCTTTTTCTTTGTCTCTTCTTCCTGTTTTTGGAACACGGTACAAATGCTTCTCCATGACGTGGGCTATTTCCCCATGGCAATTTCTCTTCCTTCTGACCGACCGCATTCCTGCACCGGGGCAACCTTTTGAATAATAGACACGACGACTATGATACGCTACCTCTATTAATACAAACAAGCAATACTATCACAACTGCAGCCAAGTCGGCCCGCGAGGTCTGTGGATCGTGCTCCCATCAACTAGCAGGGCAGCTGCCCACCTATCTCCCTACCTCCCTACCTCTCTCTGCCTCCCTACCTGGAGTCGCTTTGTCTCGCGAGCGCCCCGTTTGCTGCCAAGTGAATGTATTTCGGCCGCGCGCATGTTCTTTGTGTGTGTTTCAAGTGCCTTGCAACGGGCGTAGCAGCACCTTCGGTATCAAGCCTGTAGCCGTTGTCCATGCGTGTACGACGCGGACGTACACCTGCGGCATAGACCCATTCCCACACCGAGCAAACAGGGCAGGGCATTATATTCAAAGCTCTGATGTTCCACGACCTTGCACTCCCAAAGTGCACTCAGCTGCTGATTTCCGTGTTGCTATTTTTGCACCTAGTGGAGAGAGAGCCCCGGTGAATTGCCTAGAATCTAGACCATCGTTGTCCCACCCACCCTCAAGGATCCCGTCTTCAAGTCGTCTCCTGACCAGTAGACTGCTTTTGACTGAGATGATCTATAGCCTCGTTTATGTACCCAGGGCCGTCCCTTTGTCTCTAGGCCAGACTTTCTCAGCAGACAGACATGAAGACTACCTGCAAGCCAAAGGTCCAATTGGAGCGAGACGATGGAAAAATACGTCGTTTCGGAGGGTTCGTCGTAAATATCGCCAACGCGGCCGGCCCTTCCATTTTTGGCGGGCCCTCACTCCTGCCTTCCAAATTCAATCCAGCAACCTTTAGGATCTCATGAAGGAAAATCCATTACCAGTCTACCATGAGAGCCAGGGACCATCCTTAATCCATGCTCTGGGATTCTGTGTCCCTCGGCATCTACCTGGTCGTTCAGCAATCAACACCAACACCTTGGGGGGCGCTTTCGGTTCCGACTTGATCCGCATGCAAATACCCGATACGTCGTCGAAAAAGCCTGGGAAGAAATCGCAACCAGGAGGAGATGCAAGAAGGCAGCAGGATGCCCGCAAAGTGCCTGGCCGTGGGCCCCGGCTGGGACAAGCCGCAGAGGAGACCAGTGATATGGATCAACGGCTGGCCTGGAGTGGGCAAGGCGTCGGTGGCTGGCCTACTATCAATGCTGATTGGGATTGAAAAGTCAACTGTCGTGGCCGAGGACGCCAACGACGACACCAATCCGCCACCGACCTTCGAGCCGAGGCGGGACTGGCGCAGCAGCGGCGACCACGACGCCCAGATCCGAGGGATCACTGGAGGAGAGTTGGAGAGCCTGAGAATGGACCCGGAGGCCGCCCGCCGCGCACTCAACATGGCGAACCACATCCTGGAACCGACCTCGTTTGCAAAGTTCACAATCATCACGGCCTGCCAGACGGCCACGGAGCGCGGGGCCGAAGCCGCGACCCAGTACGCCGCGGCGGCGCGACAGGTGAAGCGTCTTTTTGTTCCCGTCACGCTCGTCTGCGAGGCCAGCGAGAACATTCGGCGGCTGCAGACCAGACACGCGGTACACCCGGCGCACTACGAATCGGGTCCGCAGGATCCAAACGAGGCAATGGCCGAGCGAGGCGTAGGGCTATACGAGTTCTCATCGACACCGGGACCGTCCCTATCCCCATCCCCGCGCCCCCGCGACCCGCAGCTAGAGAGCGTCACCTTGGATGACCATGGCGACGTCGGAAGCGTGTTTGGCGGCAAGGAGACGAAAGACGCCGAGGAGAAGGAGGAGGAGCCCCGCATGTCCGAGAACGACCCGGCCGCCCTGGCCATCTGCGTCGACGTGACGCGCAAGACATCAATGCAGGCCGGCTTCGCCATACTGCAGCACGTGGAGGAGCTAGAGGTGCGCTGTCTACGGCGAGACCGTGCTGCCGCTTGGGCCGCTGCAGAGACGGAGGCCCGCCGATTCGCGGCCGAGGCGGAAGCGAGAAGTCGAAGGGCAGACGACGAGGCTGCCAGACGCACGGCTCAGCGGCAGTCTTCGTACAAGCGTGAGGAAGCGGAGGCGGCGCACATGCCAGGGCACTCGGGCGGGGATGACTCCAGCAGCTCTCCTTCGAGCCCGGCTCTCGAGATGGACCGTCGTGGTGGTGCAAATGCGGCCGGCACTCTGGACCAGGACATAAAGCTGGGCACCACGAACCCTCCGAGGCCAAGAAGCACGTAGACGCAAAATCCAAGAAGATGTCCAAGACGCGAAAACCCCTCGTTTCTCGACAGTTGCCACGCGGCCATGTCGGCAGGTAGCCCTGTTTGTACGACCTCTGGATTTATCTGTGGTTTTTGGGCGTGAATCACATGGACGAGGCGGGGGCGTTTTCCTGCAGAGGCGCGAAGGAACTTGACCGAGTGAGACATGTGGCGGACCAGCGTTGTTTTAAGATAGGTACCAGTCTCTGGGGGTCACAATTCAATCGTTGGGGTCGTCAAGAAAGCGTGGCGGGGACGCCGATGGTTGCCATGAGCTAGTGCAGCGAGAGGATAGCTCAGCCAAGGTGGGCGAGGAGAGGAATTTTTAAGCTCCCACCTTGTCTGAGGTTTTCGCCCACCTTGGCTGAGCTGACTACTCGCTTTGCCTGCTCTTCGCCCACACCACCCGAACCAAGGAATTGACGAACGGGAATTCAAAAATGGAGCTGAAAGGGGAGATGGGGGAAATTGTGCTCGTGCGTTTGTGTGTTTCTTTACTACGGTAGAAAGCGAGGCCAGACTTCTCCCTTGATACAGTATGAGGGGAATTCGTCATCACTCGACAAGGCAAAGCCGATAGATGATAGATGCAGAAGCATGGCCAGCCGGTGAGCGTATAGATCTGCAGCACCACCTCCAAGTCCCGCACAAGATCAAAGGCCGGCCTTTGCTGATGATGCCATCTGTTTCTTGAATCCACGGCGTGTGATGAGCTATCTAATGCCCATGTCTTTTTTTTTCTGCTCTCGACCCTGCTGTTGGTGTGCTGCCCCTAGTTGACTTGCTCCCTCCCTTGAGCATGTGTCTTTTTTTTGCTGTTGGCCGCTTGATATTGGGACGTGCCGCACCAATCAAGCCGTCACGATAGCAACGGCGGCCGGGTAATCAGGGAGCCAAGATACAACCGTCAGGTTCGCGCCGCCGGCTCTTCGCGCAAGGCCATGCGGGGTTTCCACACCATACTATCTTGGTAGCCACGGTAGCTTCCTACCCAAACGACCAGACTTCCTGGCATGGCGGTGACCTAGACAAGGCCCCGGTAGACTCTGATGGCGCCGTTTCTGCGGCCTCTGAGGCGTAAAACGGGGCTGCGAGATTTTGTATGCAGAAACAATTTTCATCTACACGAAAGCAAACATGTCCCTTGTTCGGAAACACGTGTTGTGTTTACATGTCGTCGTCAAACATGCTTTCTCCGGCGGACAGGCCTGGGCAGAAAAGCGTCTGGAGCGTGGGGGTTTCGATGACGTCCTACTGGGCTGATTTTTTTTTGTTTCTCTTTTTCGTCTTCGTTCCAGAGGCAATCTAGACCCCCATGCTCTGCCGTGCCTTCTCCTGTATTGCCCACCCTTCGCTGCGACCCTGCCCTTGCGCCGTGGGGATGAACAGTGATGGGGGTTTGGGAGCCAAGACGGTTGTTGGTATGGGATGCAATAAGCATGTATCCTTTCTCTCTGCACCTGGAGGCTCGCACTGTGCCCCTGAAAGGGTAGGGGGTGGGGAGGGGGAGGCCAGACCATCGTGCTCGAGAAGCGCTCCCGACTATGCCAATACGGGATATATATTTTCTACGGGCGTTCCTCGAACGGCACACACACCCACAAACACACAGAAGGACCCAGTTCCGTGGAGAAGGGCGGGCGGGCTTTGCTGATGGTTGGCGAGCGAGGCAAGAAAGGAGATGCACACGCCCCATCCCTCCCTGGCGCCAGAGCCCAGGCCGGAGGACCCCCGAACGAGATGGACATGGGTTCCGACATGGGTTCCGACATGAAAAGGCGTGGGCTAATTCACACGCTAGCCCGGGATTTCATTTACAGTACTCGTCCTCGTCATGCAAGAAATCCTGCATCATGTAACCTGGGTGGTGTGGTGGGGGGATGATGATGAAGAATAGGGGTGTGTTGTTGTTGGTGGTGGTGGGCTCCGTGGACTACACCCCCCTGCCCGTCTTCAGCTTGTTGCAGATATTACCGCTTACGGCCATGGTGGACGCGCTACTGCTGCGCCCTTGTGTGTTTGCGTAGGTATGTATGTGTGTGTGTGTGTGTGTGTGTGTGTGTGTGTGTGTGTGTGTGTGTGTGTGTGTGTTGTGTGTGTGTGTCTGTCGTCGTCGT